ACCACAGCTTAAACCTAAGAAGAAACAGGCCATCCATGAGGAAAGGTTTAAAGCATGCAGTGGCAAAATACAGACACACACACACACACACACACACACACACACACACACACACACACAAGGCAGTCCCTGCTCTTCAAACAGAGTGCTCATAGTTGCTAACTGTTGATTAATACATAGGGAGGGTGTCTCAGGTCCACAACAGCTACAAGCTAAATAGAAGACAGATGTGCTCAACACATTGAAGCTGGTCTCTACATGCAAAACTTTGAGTAGATGGAGACGTTCTTTTTCTTTAATATCTGCTCTCCCTGGACTCATTCATTCACACATTAGATTCTCTGCCTGTGTGTGCCTCTTGTACCCTCAGCTTTGTATTGTGTCTTGAAACTGGAGACCAACTCTTGTAATTTCTTCCTGCTCTAGCTCATACTCACGAGAGTAATTTCTTCCTGCTCAAGCTATACTCATATATAGGAATCTGAATAAATGTTCAGGCTTATTATTTTGTATGACCTTTGAAAAAAGGCTTAAAGTCAGTCTTTAAATGCCTCAAGCATGAAGCAAATGACACCAGAAAGGACAAAGTTTAAAAATTTATGGATCTCCCCTTAATCAGCAAATCAACATCACAGGATAAAGTCTCCTTTAAGAATTAGGAAAAGAGTGCCTTGCAGCCTAGAAACATTTCAATATTTTTTTCAGTCCCTGCAATTAATATTTATATTTGGATGGCTTGAAATGTAATGTCTTCATGTTGTTTAAAGAGAGCATAAACTAACTACTCTTGGATAGCTCCTTTAAGGGGAAAGAAAGAAGCTAAGATTTTAACAGTAGATTGGAATCTTTAACACCATTTCTTTTAGTCTTCTACTGAATATAGTCACTCTTCATAATTGTATTAAAGTTATAGTATAAAAAATACATATAAAAATGGCAGTTCTAACTCTAAAACTGGCAGATAATTTGTTTCTTTCAAATAGGGCTTGCCTTTATCTATGCCATTTTTGACAATTCAATAATTTATCTAATAGTTCATCAATATACTATTTTATCTCATTGATTTTATGTTCCTTGATATAGAGGTCATGTCTTATAGGTTATTTTTTAGTATAATATAGGATACATTGTAGGTACCCCAAACATACAAAAGACTAGACTTATTGTCATCAAAAATTAAAAAGAAACAGTAAAAGTAAGTGCGAATGTTAAGTATTTTTGAACAAAATCTAGGAAGAGTTTGACAAAATTCAACATATTTTATTAAAATTAAAGCTTTCAAAACACGAATAGGCAGCATAATATCATGAAAAGGGTACTGAGTTAAAAGTCAGAAATTCTAATTTCAAATATTCCATATGTGATACTAATTACCAATCTTTTTACTCCAGATATTTGATCTTTAAAACAAGAAAAAATGATCCATGATCTGCTTTACTCATGAGCTGGTTGAGATGTGATACTGTGTGAGACAGATTTTGTAAAATATAAAACACTCAATAAGCACAGGATAGTGTTTCTCAGAGTTTCCTCTACATATAGAAGTATAAGTCAGCATTAGAAGCAACATTTATTTACAAAGTCTTCTTAATGCAACATCATAAAATGGTCACTTATTATTTTATTTGTTCATTTATTCAACAAATATTTATTAATTTACATACTGGTTCTTCGAAAATCTGAGTCACTGTGTTCATATCTGCAGTTGTCTGCCCACTTTTGGGCATTTGCTGCTGCTGCACTGCTCCATCTCTAAAACAAGGAGGGGAAAAAAAAAGATATACACTTAGTGACTCACACCTCAAAGGTACATAAGCTTTATAATCAGATTGATAGGTTTATCTATATCATTTAAAAATTTCTATACAGGCACCTTCTGATTTTCATTACAATCAAAAATACATTTTTTGATGCGCCTTTTTCTGCTCCACAAAATAATATAGTTAGTATGTTTACTTTAAATAACTTTAAATAATTAAAAAATCTAAGATAAGTTAATGCTGTAATTATTTATGATAGCACAGCAGGAACATCTGAAGATGTTTTGCAATGGTCCTACTCTAAATATAGATAAACGTGGTGGTATTAAGATTATTTTTCCAATAGAAATGAGCTGGGGCTACTTCATTCCTGGTTCCTTCCCCCCTCAATACATCTGAGAGACATGTGAACTTCATAAGCCGTAATGTTATTAAAAGATGTTAGTTGCCAGCTGCCTGCTCTTAGCACAGCTGGCTCAAGCCACTTTCCTCATATCACTGCCTCTTACCATCTTTAGCATGTTGCTGGCACTTGGAGAGACTGCTTTCCTTAGTTCATTGTGTTTATTTACAATCTCTGATTGTACTTGGCTTAGAGTGGTTAACAAAGCAGGAAAATCTGAATCCTAAAAAAAAATAAAATTAGAATTAATTTTAGTATATTTCAAAATTAAGTATAATATGAATAAGTCATTTCAAGGGAAAAGAGATCATTTTTTTTTTAAGTGTTCAGTTTAAGCCAATTGGTAAACACTGCCAATAAATCTGAGCCCAAGCTATGGCTTTTAAATAGAGAAGTAGTAGATTGAAGCTTTGAGAATTGGATATAATTTATGGCATCACAAATTAAAAACTCCTTTGAGGCCCCAAAGGCCAATTTCTGGTGTTAAGAGAGGTCTCAATGTGATTTTTCTAGATATATGAGTGATAATATCTTATAGTGACAAAGGTACACCATTAGAACCATTGAGACATTCATTCTCAATTAAGCTCCTGCTTAATTGAGTGGTAAGGATGGGGGCGGGGCACATGATTCATCCTAGACTTTCAGGTAGGTTTCCACTTGACACAGTGTCTAGTATCTGGAGAAAGAGTGCTTAGGCCCAGTGCAAGTGCATGTGTTGCTTTCAGTACTCTAGTAAAACAGTCTTATGTATTATGTAGCAAATTTCATGAGATAACTCAAAAGATAGTTTTACTGCATGAAAAAAAGAATCTCCAAGGCAATTTGAAGGGAGTGAAGTCATTCAACTAATGGAATATTGCTGACTTTGTTTCTATTAACACAGCTGTAACTGCTAAATTATTGTCAGGTGCTGATATTTTCCATTTATATTTTAGTGTGTGTGTGGGTCTGAAGAGTAGAGTGGAGTTGTGTAAATTGTTGGCACAAAAGAGAAGAGCAATTTGTTTATCTAAATTTACTCAAGAATGTGATGTTTTATAGGGATGAGCAAGATTTTGAGTTACAAAT